ACAAAGGGCATCGCAACTAGGAGCAAAGACGCTACTAGGGGCGCTCCTGGCATTACTGGTAACAAGAAGCTACTAGGAACAAAGGGCATCACGGCATCGCTACTAGGAGCAAGGACGCATGCAAAATTCAAAAGATGTCGAGGGGATTCGAGGGGGCTACCTTGTCAGGATTTCGATGCATTCGCCAACAAGGGCCTACAGAAACGCCAGTTCGCAAAACCCAGTCTGACCAGAAAAGTAGCGCAATTATATACAAAGCCTTGAACGAACTAGAACGACAATGTTTTGTTTTATACTGCAGCGATTGTGGAAGAGGAGCAATTGCAAGCGGAAAATAGTCAGTCACTCAGCTTATGACTGTTTGTTCCGGTTCCAAATGATGCTGAATCCATTTGGCCAAGGCTTTGAAATTCCGCTTGAGATGAGGGGCAGAAGAACACATGGTACAGGGACGTCGAACACCGAGCGGCCGCTTTAGATTCCCTCAGCTGAAAGCGAAAGGTGCATTCTGGACGGGTGATACGAATAGCGGGAAGCGAATGGGGGCCATAACGAAAGGGGCCGGTGGCCTTGAGTGACCAGTAGAACTGTACCAACCTGCAAAGCAATGATGCATTCTGATCTCATGTTGTTAATAGCCACCATCGACCGCGCAATGCCGCGAGCGCTCACACTTGGTCATTTGGTGTTATCAGTGCGTGACACGAGGATGCAGGGTCCGATGACTTGTGTGGGAAAAAGGGTGGAAGCAAGGCAGACCATGGATGATAGTTGCGGTTCGAAGGTGCGCCTTATTGTTACCACACTTAGCTTCAGGAGATTGGAAGTAAAGTAACGCGGGCATGCGGCATGAGCATACTGGTAGTGCGTATGCCCATGTCCAAGCGTGGGAGCATGTGGGAGCTTAATTTTTTCAATCGATCGGTCAGCCTGCAGGATGTTGTCTTGCGGGCCCACCAACCCAAAGTTGAAGGAGAGTAGCAGGCGCATGTGCAAGGTGTTCAGTCTTCACTTATATAATATACTGCTAAGCATGTTTTGTCCGGAATGGCCAAGCCCGCGGCACCGTGGTCCAACACCTGGCTGCGAGAGACGAGAAAAAGGGCGGCCGTTCTCCCGGGGTTCCGCTGCATTCGTAGTTAAGGCCAGGAGCCAGGAGCCCCTACTAGGCCCTAGTAGCGTCCTTGTTCCTAGCGTTCCGTTCGTAGCAAACAGGTTTCATTTCATTTCATTGGCTGTTGAAGCGTCAGTGCTGAAGGTGGAAAGGCGCAGATGAACATGGTGTTCAGGATGCTGTTTTGTGAAAAAGTCAGCGTGGGAGATTCGACATCAGCGGTATGCATTCTGCCATGGATGTGCCTTACTCTTTGCAAACCCGTTGCTCAAGCATTTTCGTTTTTTCCACCTCGACATTAGTTTTTCATTGAGGGTAGCTCGTCATGTTTGCCGCCAGTGGCAGGCGGTCTGTGCCAGAGCCACCTGGATGAATCACATGAGTGGCCGCAACCCTGCATCCTTGAATCGCCGTATCAGGGTATTTTTGTGTTTCCACTGCTCCAGCGTTGGTGAGAGCCACCGCTATCCGTTGTCAATGTGTGGTGAATTCTGCATTTTCGGAAAACATGGGAGATGAGATCAATTGCACTAAGGCATGTTGTTGGTCATGCACCCGGCCATCAGAACTACTGCAGCTATGTCGTCCCAGCCACTCAAGCTATGTCCTCTAGGTGAGAGGACCAAATTGCAATGCAATGCGAATTTGCCCCCAGAGTTCTCATAGATCCTGCTGTCGCTGTCCTCAATCATAGGATTCACGTCACACACAAACCATCTTGGAAGTCCATCGTTGTCGCCAGATCCATCGGTGGTGGCCCAGCACCAGCTCAAGTCACCGTTAGACGGGCTGTATCGCCGAAGTGGGTGACCGTCACACCAGAAGGCACGGTCGAAAGACGGCATTAAGAACAATAACAGAGGCCACACCTTTTGGAAGTGTCGAGGGTCTGAGCTGCTCATGAGTGAGCTGAGTATGCAGGCAGTCTTGGTCAATATGAGCAATCAGTTATGGTTCGACGGTCTACAAAGTATAGTAATTATTGCGCTGCATTGCTTTGTTGGCTTGCGCAGATCAGCAAACATTTGTAAAAGGGTTACTAAAAGATACTAAAGGGCATTTTCTTGATTTTTGTGGCAGGTGCTACTTCTCTTGGAGGAGTTAAGGGTCCTCTCCTCTCAGTGCGGCAACCCTGCAGGCTTGTGGCAAGAGGGGCCACCTGAAACCAAAAACCTGGACACTCAAAATCAGGAATGCTTTTGAAGCAGGTCAGCCGACAGCCGCGGGAGACCCTCTGTCGCAGCTTGTCAGCAGGAAAAAGACAGGTTTTGCATCCCTGTGCCCCATGGAATTTTTGTGCATTCGATCGATTTGGTTTGCCTGATGATTTCTGGCGCAGTAGGCGAATCAGGCTGGTTGCATGTAGCTCGAGATTCATCACCAAGACCTGCCGGAAAACCCCTTCCAACCATATTGGACCTTTCTTCATTTTCTTCTTGCTTTGTTTCAACAGCGATGACCTCCAACCTAATAGCAATGGCCTCCAACCGAATAGGGGTTGGTGGAAGTCCTCCCTCAAACCAACTTCCAAATGCACCAGCAGACGCAGGATGATTCTCTTTGCGGCACTTAGTTTCATCACAGTCAATGAGTCGCCGAGTTGTTGCAAACGACATGCCCATGATGTGGGTGAGATTGGAGTGCGCTGAGAGCGCTATGAATCAACGTTTGGAATCACTAAGTCCCGAAGCGCTTCAGCTGAGCTACCTTCGGGTTGCAAGACTCCAGTGATCCCAGGCGAGACGGTTCTACACAGAAATGCAAACGCCTTCATTGGCGGACAATTAATTGAACTTTTTAGGGGAGTTGTAAGTGAAGCCGTTCACGCAGAACTAGCAAACGTGGTTGTTGACCTTGGTGTCTTGATCTCAAGGAGTCATGTTTTTCAACCACCACAACTGGGCCACTTTATGATCAGTGCTGGAAGGAGACTACCGACCCAGCTCATCCGATTTCATCAGTGCATCCTATATGTTGAACATGCTTGGACCAGTTTTTGTTCATGGCAGAAGAGTTGCTCCCGAAGGGTTCTTGAAGCTGTGTGCCGAGCAAGCAGCCAACTCTCACGCTTGCATAATGTGTTGCTGACCTCCAGTCGAAATCACATGCGCTACTTATATATACAGTGTACATATATATATATATATAATGTTCATATGTCCTCATGAGTAAACACAACATATAGCATTTTTCACCGTAGCATTGGGCTCGAAGGGCCTATGCCACTTTGCTCCAAGTGCAGAGCTTCTTGCAGGGAGGTGTTCAGTTTGTACCTCCGCGGAGCGTTTGTGGGCGGTTTGCACGAGCGATCGCTTACCGTCCACTGCTGAGGCCGGGGCTAAGGTGACCAAGTGCCTCGACGGGGCATTCTACTCCGTGGCCCGGCTGGTTCCGGAGAGCGAAGAGGAGCCTGAGAAGGGAGCTGGTGCTCCCAGGGAACCCCTGAGAGGGGGCACTACAAAGGGAGAGGCGTCTCCCAGACCAGCTGAGGTCGAGAGAAAGGAGAAAGAGGAAAAGCCCGATAGCCAACAGAAAGAGGACAGTCAGAGTGGAGAGGCCGCTGTCCTAAAGGTTGCGCCTACATCAAAGCCCAAGGAGAACTTACAGCCCAAGGAGGAGATTGAAGCTAAGACAACGGGAGTTGACAACAAGCCAAGAAGTACTGAGGAAAGAAAGCCATTGCCTCGACGACGAGACGAGGACAAAGATACCAGTCCACGTTCACGAACTCCCAAACGAAGACAAGAGAAAGAAAAAAGAAGGCGGAGGCGAAGGAGATCAGGATCTACAGAGGTGAGCGGTTCAGAAGTCAGGAGACAGGAAAGGGAGACCCAAGTCTCCAGGAGGAAAAGAAAGAGGGTGCAGATCAGGAGGCTGCAAAGGAATCAAAGATTGAAAGAGAACCCTATTTGAGACCGAGGCCAACACAGCGAAAGCCAAGGTCGCCACATACCCCGGAGCGGCCGCCTCCAGAGCGATCGTCAGGGTCAAAAGGAAGTCGAAAAGGAAAGCATCAAGGAAGCGGTTGGAGAGGACATGTGCCTTATTCACAGCACCCTCGTTGGAGTCAAGGAACCAACAAGGGGATTACAAAAAGGGCAAAGCAAGAGTTGAGAGATAGGAAGTCGCAAGGCAGATATCGTTGGTGAAGGGAGGGATGCCTCCCAAGTTCAGAAGACCAGCGGCGGCCGCAGCTCGGGTGGGTTCGCTCTCGACGCAGGCCTGCCGCGGAAGCAGAAACCTCAGGGCCACTGGAGAAACTATATGGGTGGAGACCTCACCATGGACAAGCTTGGAGAGGTCGATGTGATGGAGCTGGAGCGAGCCCCGTACTACAATGGCCATGTCAAGGTTGCCGGCAGGGTCCGAGCCCTGCACCCCAGCGAAGGGCGGATGGATTTTGTATTGACTGGAACTCAGTCTGAGCGCATTATGGAAGCCTTTGGTGGAGGACAGGATCGAGCGGTCTCAGTCCACCTTTGCCAATCCTTGGGAGCCGATGTGGAAGCAGAATTGGTACGCTTTGTCTCTCTGTGCCCACTGGCATTTATGAACTTTCGCCTACCCGTATCGGAGTTTGTCACGGCTAGTGATGCATCGACTTCCGGAGGTGGTTTGTGTGTGTCGCGAGGGGTTAGCCCGTACGGGTTGGCAGCTTCGCAGGCTGAAGCCCGAGGCGATGTTCTGTGCCATGAGATCGCTCAGGTGCTTGTGATTTCCTTGTTCGGCGGTATTGGTGCCCTGCGCGTTGCTCTAGATACCCTGAAGGTACCAGTGGCCGGGTATATTTCGGTCGAGATTGATGACTTCGCAAGCCGTGTTGTCGAATCGTTCTTTCCGGAGGTGGTCAGAGTTCAGGATGTCGCACACGTCAACCTGGAGATGGTGGCTGAGTGGTCGATGCGTTTTGCTTCGGTGTCACTAGTTGTCTTAGGGGCAGGGCCGCCTTGTCAAGGCGTGTCCGGTCTGAATGCAGACAGGAAAGGGGCTATGCGTGATGCACGATCATGCTTGTTCCAGCAGGTGCCCAGGATCGAGGAGATGGTACGACGTGTGTTTCGTTGGTGCCCGGTGTATCGCCTGATTGAAAACGTCGCCTCCATGGACAAGGAAGACCGTGCTGCAATGCATGCTGCGTACCGGGTCGAGCCGTGGTTGGTGGACGCTGGAGGAATTACTTTGGCCAGGCGGCCGCGACTTTATTGGTGACTGGGAGATGCTGCCTCAGGAGGTGTGACATTGTTGAGGGGAAGGTCCAGGTCAAGAACCTCCCAGTACAGGGCACCATTCAATTGACCGCCAAGGTGGCCGAGGGTGATTTCTTGGAAGCAGGCTGGAGGCGTATCAAGGAGAGCAGTCCGTTCCCGGCCAGACCGTCAGCTGCACCAGGGCGCAAGCCTGCAGGACTTCAGTTGTGTCCGCCGGACGCGGTGGCACGTTGGCAAGCCGATTCACACAGGTTTCCCCCTTACCAGTATAGAGCAGAGAACTGCGTGACAAACGCGAAGGGTGACATGCGTGTGCCATCCACTCGAGAGCGTGAGGTAATCCTGCTAAGGATTACACTCGTCGTTGCATGCCTAAGGGAAAGGAAGGAAGCCAAGAACATAACGATTGCCGCTTGCGTCTACTAGGCAACAGTTGGTCAGTGCCCGTGGTTGGTGTCTTGCTTTACTCGCTGCTCCGATTGTTGGGTTGGGTTCCTGCGTTGAGCATTCAGGACATTGTGGATCGACTCACACCGGGGTGTGCGTCTGACCTTGAGAGGCCACCGCTTCGTCATGAAACACCGGAGACACAGTCAGGTCCCGGTTTGGTTCGGAAGTTGTTAGGGCAGGTGTCGATCAAAGGTGAAGACATCCTCCTGCACCAACAACACGCTTGCCGCTCTTCAAGACAAAGAGCCTGGGCTTAAATGCCGATTGGCGGGCAGCTGGAGGCTGCTCAAGGCTTGGTCGACTGCGGAGATCCCGAATCGGGCACCCCCTATGACCCTTGTTGTTCTTGATGCCATGTGTGGCTGGCTTGTCATGAAGGAGATGCCCGTCATGGCTTTGTCCTTGCGTGTAGCTTTCTTTGGACTGTTACGTACGGGAGAACTCCTCAGCCTCAAGCCAAGGACATCTCTTTGCCTTCTCCCAAAGGACCAGCTGTGCTGTCCTTGCATGAGGATTCGGTCTTGCCTGCACTTTACCACTGGAAGCAAAACGTTCGACCAACTGAATTTTTAACGCCTAAGCCACACCAGTGGCGTTCCCTTTTTGCCAGTGCATTGGAAGCACTGCGACTGACCCCATTGGAGTTTAGACCCTACAGCCTGCGTAGGGGGGGGGCAACATTTTCTTTAACCACCACGGATCATTTGACCGATTGTTGGTCCAAGGGCGGTGGGCCGCCGCGAAGACAGCCCGGATTTACCTGAACGATGAGCTGGCCCAATTAGCCGATATGACACTCCCTAATTCGTGTTTGCATACCTATGTGAAGCTTTTCCGCTCTAGCCCAATACTTGAGCCTGGGAAGTCTTGTAAACTTCCCAGAGCAGGGGGACGTGGAAAGCGAAAGGTTGGAAAATGAGAGTGTGGAGTTTTTTCTCATGATTTTGTCGGACAAACCTGCAAGATGGAGTGCTCTGAAGGTTTCCTCTCTAAAAACACTCGAGCCCGGATATGCACCGGTTTGGCGGTTGCATGTTTGGGGGGTGTAGGGGGGCCTCCCGTCTCTCCTGGTTTGGCGGAGTGAACGGGGGGTCGGGGCCCCGAGAGGTAAAGAACTAGATGATGCGTTTTTAAAGTTTGACCAACTCTCTGCAACGCGTGAAAAGAGCGCTAGTGGTTGTGTTTATTCATATCGGTTCTCATAATCATACTATGGTCTTTTTTGTGGCTGACCGTGCCTCGAAACGCGAATGCAGGCACGCCTGCCATTCAGACCAGGGAGGCCGCGATGAGTTCTGATTCTGATTAGCCAACATTGGCTCTGTGCTTTTTGAGGTTCAATTGAAAACACCGAAATTACATCACACGAGAACCCCTTCAACATCCCTCCTGGTACTGGCAGATGGTTACAGTTTTTTCTTTTCTAACTGTTATTCCACATGTTAGTTTTTTTTGTGTTCTTTTTGTTTCTCTCAGCTCCAGCTGAGCCCAATTCCCGGTGCGTCCGAGTGGTTTTTCACAGTTGCACTCTTTCAAGCAGTGAGAGATTATTGGTGGATGCATTCACGAGTTTGTAAACGCCCAATTGTTGCCAAATGTGCAATGATGTAAACCATGCACCGACCGAACGAGATCAAACTTGTGGCTGTCGTGTCAGCTTCTCTTCCCCAGCGTTTACTTTTCCCAGAGGTGCTCCTCAAAAGTTTGAGATGAAACTTTGCCGTCCCACTGGCGCCAATTGCTGGCCAGGTGAATTCGAAGCGTGCCCGTACGCCAGGCAAGTAGTCAAGCCTTGGGAGTTTCATGAAGTTCTTCTCTTAGTGAAGTTCCTAGCGCCGACAGCGTGTAGGGTTCAAATCAAATCGGACTGAACCTGACCGAACTGACGTTTCTCATCATTTCTCATTTATATTTCAAGCTGCCAGATCCTGTGCAGGCAAGGCCCGGTGATTGGACATCTTGACACGGAAGTTCTTCTACATTCTTCTACAAATGATAGCATGTGATAGGTCGATGGAATCTGTAGGTCAAAGCTCACTCATTTCACTAAGGTCACTAGGCTTAATTGGCAATGTGCAGTCCCGGACTCCCCAAAAGAATGATTTAGTGGGACTCAAGAGTTGCAAAAAACCATTGCCCACATTGTCCCCTTGCTTGTTTGATGAAGAAGTGTTACACCAATATCGAGAATAAGTAATTTTGACAATATGCAATATATACTTTGAACTTTGAGCACATTCAAGCACACTTCTGTAAACTGCATGTTGTTGCATCCGCACGCCCAAAGTCTTTGTTCTGCATGAGGCATTTCAGGAGGGACAGCAGGTTGTTGTTGCTGTCTCGCCTGTCGTTGCCAAGCGTACTATAGGTGGGGCGGACGTGTTGTGCGGTGCGGGCATGTAATATTTAGTTCCTTCAATGCACCGGCTCTTATTCATTTCTGGATAGATTGAATCTGCATGGGCTTGCCGGCATTGCGGGTGGTTGGTGTCACAATCCATGCCGGAGGTACAGTCGGATGTTGCCGGGGCAAGATGTGAAATCTGAAATCTGACTTAACTCTCAGCCAACACCTGAAAAAGACGTGATGTGTAGTTGTGAAATAAGATTTACCGTCTGTCACACACACACACATTATAGGCGACCCGGTGCCGGGGTCGCAAGGTCTTAAGTGTCATTGTAGAGCTGTAACTATATGTTATATTGGTCTTTCCTTCTGGCTTAGAGCCTCTGGCTTAGAGCGCATTCCCACAGTTTGAAAGCTTTACCCTGGAATTTACCCTGGTTTGCTCGTGCCAAAAAGCCTTTGGCCGTTCGCTAGGTGGCCAAAGCCCGCAGGTGTGGAAACAAGGGACGCGCATGAAGTTCACTTTAAGAGACTGCTGTGCAAACATGGCTCCATGAGAGTTTGCTTTTTGATTGACACGCTACTACTAGCAACAATGGCCTCCAACCTGCTAGCGGTGGCCTCCAACCCACTAGCCGTATCTAGCGATGGCCTCCAACCTCCTAGCGATGGCCTCCAACATAATAGCGATGACTAGCGATGGCCTTCAACCTGCTAGGATCTAATAGCGATGGCCTCCAACCTACTAGCGATGGCCTGGAACCTACTACCAATGGCCTCCAACCTAATGGCGATTGCCTCCTACCTACTAGCGACGGCCTCCAACCTACTAGCAATGGCCTCCAACATAATAGCAATGACTAGCGATGGCCGGCGATGGCCTTCATCCTAATAGGATCTAATAGGGACGGCCTCCAACCTACTACAACCTACTAGCGTTGGTTGGCCTCCAACTTCCAACCCTACCAGCGATGGCCTGGAACCTACTACCAATGGCCTCCAACCAAATGGCAATCGCCTCCGACCTACTAGCGACGGCCTCCAACCTACTAGCAATGGCCTCCAACCTAATAGCGACAATCTTCAACCTACTGGTGATGGCCTCCAACCTACTGGTGATGGCCTCCAACGTAATGGCGATGGCCTCAACCTACTAGCGATGGGCTCCAACCTACTAGCGATCTCCTCCAACCTACTAGCGATGGCCCCCAACCTAATGGCGTCGCCTCCAGGCCAACCTAATCGCGATGGCCCTCAACCTACCAGCTTTTGCCTCCAACCTACTAGCGAGGGCCTCCAACCTGCTAGCGATGGCCTCCAACCCACTAGCAATGGCCTCCAACCTACTAGCGATGGCCTCCAACCTACTAGCGATGGCCTCCAACCTACTGGCC